AGCATTTGCCATTACCTCTAACCAATCATCGTACGCTTTATTTTCACGTGATACTACTCCGCTTTAGACGACCCCCAAATTTGGTATACATCATAACAAAAAACAAATACATAAATTTTATTTGTCAGAACCGGAGCATTTATTTAAAAAAAAATTTATATTAATTAATATATCCGATCTCGAAATAATCAAAAAGAGCTTGATCGGATACTTTTGATAGGGTAGTGTATTTATAATAACCTATTATATTAATTCTCTAAACATACCCATAAGTACACAAAGGTTCCAAGACATACCAAAACGATTTGTTCCGAAAGTTGAGTAGAAGAGGTTGTGGTGGTGTAAGGTTGCCGGGAAATCCTGAGGTTTCGAAATAGAAACCCATCGAAACCGAAAGATTTCGATTTCAGTATAAATGTTGAAAATTAGGTTATTGTTTTCATAATCTGTTAATGTGTTGCTTTCCAATTTCAACATAGAATCGTTTTTTCTTTCTCCATGAATAGATTCCTGAGCGTACAACTAATGTACAGTAGTTAATAAAATTAATAATCATAATGACACTCATTTTGATTAAAAACATCTATTACCTCTTGATAATAGATAACGTTATCGTTGTGTTTCAATTCTAAATTGTTATCAAGGAAGTGATCCTAAAGAGCCTAAGCGTACGGACTTTTCGTTAAGCTTGAATAATAAAATTGGATAAATTCGTAGAAGAAATAAAAGAGAAACCATCTAAAGCTAAACTAGCAGAAGCACTTCGACGCAAATTGGACATAGGACAAGCGAACCCATATTTTCTACTTGCTTTGCCAATAGTATTAAACGAGAGGATACTTCTTTCTATATTTTTGGTTCTTAAGTTCAGGGAGTGAATTCACTAACCAGCAGATATATCACTTTAACTAAGGCCATTTGTGTTTATTTATTTATTTATTTTTTTTTATTTAATGAAAAAATGAAAAAGGAAATTATAAAAAAAAAACAAAATGAATGGGGAGCGTAGTCCTAGACTCCCTTTTGATAAGTGTCGGCATTGTCGCTGTGTTTCACCTTTTGATTTATCAGTAAGTTCTTGCAAAATAACAATTTTGTGTGCTTTACCTATGTTGAAGAAAGATTATGTTCAAAAAATTCAATTTAATTTCGAATTTTGTAATTATGATTATAAATCAATTATTTACAATTGGTGATTTAAAAAATTAGTGATTGAATGAGCCCCCCTAGCAATATATTGATTAAAAAAAGTCATTGAATCCATTTTTATTAGAGCATAATAAGATTAATTCGAGACTTTTTTACGAAAATTTTGCATAACGCACGACAATTCGGCATGTGCATTAAACACTTACAATAACAATCAGAACGGAAAATTACTATTCTGAAACAATATAAGCGAAGTGCTATGAGATTATTATGCTATAGTATCTCTTAAGTACGCTTTCGACAATAAATTGAATAATAATCCGTTAATTTATCTGATTAAACTGATAAAGTGCAATAGCATCCTTAATAAAGTTATCAATTTTAAAAGAAAATATAAAATTATCATTATAAAATAATATTCTTAAAAGGTTACGCATGAACCTATTTTAAGATACTCAGAAAAAAACTTTTATCATCAGGCACATGTATTATAACTTATGGTCGATACAATAAATTCGGCCGATCATTTAAGATTCGTAAAAGTTTTTTAGACATTTTAATATTCATAATACGTTTGTCTCGTTGTATTCATTGTTTTAATATTTTTTTGTCTCTTACTAGATAGACATTTACTTAGCCCACAAAATAGCTACTTTTTTCGATTATCCATGAAAATTTACAATTCAGTTTAAGAGCCAAAATATCGATACATTTATTCTCATTTAATCGACAGAAATATTGATTTAATTTTATAATGTTGTTAGAGAACGCGACATTCATGAAGAGGGTGAGTGATATAAAAAATAGAGTCTACATTTATTAAAGTTATGATGTGTGAGAGCTTATTAATATCATGTCAACCGGCCCTTGTCATCGATCCTGACATCCTTTTCCTTGTAAAAAATAAAAAATCCCCTTAATTTCTCAAAATAAGATTCTAATTATGCATTATTTCTTGCAAATATTAAGGGACGATGAGGAAAAATTGATTAAAGCGACAGTTGAAGAGGAAGTAAAACGACAATTTGTTTAATAAATTGACATTATCAAGCTCATAATAAGCTCTAGATGAATTTGTTAAAATATAGGAATGAAAGTTCATTTAAATGTCAGTTTGATATTACATCGTTTATTTTTTTTTTATTTGCTTTGTTACTATAGAAAAAAGTGTTCTCTTTTATTGATTAATAATTTTTCTTGATCAGAAAGTTTAAATCACATCAATCGTTAGGCATGCTATCAATAAAATAAATAAAATAAAATAATTCTAAACTAAGTTAATAAAACTTTAAACCGAAAAAAAAATCACAAGTAATCGGAATTGTTTAGATCTTATAGTTGGATCTTTTGTCTTCATCATACTGGAACCCGTTCAACAATAAAAAGTTTGTTTCGATTCTTTATATTTACAGTATATAGGCAACTCTCTCCTGATCTTTTCAAAAGAAAAAAGTTTACATGCTGATAACAACTTTATTAGAGAGAAAAAACTTGAAATAAAAAAAGTTGTTATATACATACATAAGTTTTTTTTATTGAATATATAAAGAAAGTAGAAGTATCTACGATAATTAAACCAGTTCGAAGGACAAATTGTCTTATCAAATCATAATCTAATGTTACGTTTGATTCGGCAACTCAGGTTATCATCTTTCAATTTGTTCATAAGTTCAATTCAGAATATTAAAATTTGGGCAAGAACTCTTTACATTTTCTGAACAAATTTAATGATGAAAATAATCACACCATTAGCACCAAGACCCAACTTAAACAAAATTAACAATTGCAAGAACAATTCTGACAACAAATATACTAAGTATCAGGTAATAATCTTACATATTCATTAAACTTATTGGAAAGTTCTACTAGAGAACTTTCAAACTTAAATAATATAATGTAGAATTTAATGCATCGAATATAAATGATGATTTTATGATGTGATATGTGATTCATGTCATCAACAGGACTCGGACCTTGAATATTGAAAAGTTGCAGCATATTTCAAAGATGCTAAGGTTATTAGTGATGCCGCCATTCGGCGTGAATTCATCAATACATCTTGAATAACTTTTTAAGTTACAATTGGACAGTTGATAAGCTGAACTAACATGTTTAAAATTATAAAATTTATTAATTTATAGAAACTAATTTAACAAAAATAATTAAAAGTAAAAGTAAAGAATTTAAAAAAAGTATTTTTATAAAAATACAAATAATTTTTTTAAAAAAAATAAAAAAGTATGTTAAATAATTAAATTAAAATTTGTTGATTTCATGGATTTGACATTGGTTTGAAACGTTAAACATAAACTTTAATATTTAAAAATATTGCTACGATCAAGACCAAAAATAAAACTTTTAATTACAAATCGTCATAGAGGTTCATGAGTTCATCGTAAGATTCGACCCTTGCAACACTTGGATCTGGAATACCATTACGTCGGACTATTCGACGTCGGAGTTTGTGAGTAGAAGACCGTGAAAGTTTGGGCGAGAAGCTCGACTTGTTCGTTTGGTTTACAATAACATTAATTTGAGGTGGAAATTGATTTCGTGCTCATCTAAAAAAATGTAAAGATTAATTTTGGGACGACTTTATTAGAATTTCAACTGCTAATCGATAAAACAAATTTTAGTATACACTTGAAAAATCACTGAACCAGACGCCTCAGCTTCGTTACTTTTTATCTTGTATATCTGACATCTAAGAAAATTGAGTTTCCAAAATAAAAATTTTTTCACTATTATATTTTACACTGATGACATGATAGAAAATGGTTATTTTGTCTTTAATTTAGTTTAATTATTAATTTCATTATTACTAGAATCAACTTTAGTAATAGCAAATAAAATTACGTATTATATTTTTCATAATTGATTTGATTACGTATTTTGAAATCACTACGTTAATAATTTTGTGCTTGAGATGGTGTAAATTTTATGAAGACGAGAGAATAGCGTGGAAATAAACAGAATAAAACTAGGATCAAACCTAAAATTTATAAATTATTATTGTTATGTTCAAAACAATTTTATCCATTTCCTAAAAATAAAACTGGTTTTCTAATGTATTCATTCTCACGATTTTACCAATGTTTTCAATGTTTTCTTTTCGTTAATGGGAGTTTTCTAGGAAATAGGTCGGATGTCTTTTTTTTCAAATATTCAGTTTTTAATTAGTTAAAATTTACAATATAACCAAAATGAGAATTAATGTTTTACGGTCGATGTGATAAATAGTTTATAAAACCAGTGAAAATAATTAGACGTTTATTAGTTATTACGTATTCTCGATAGCGTATTATTTTCTAGTTAATCATATGATATTAACAAACAAATAAATTTTTATTTATTACATAAGGTTGTAAAAAAATGTTTCAAGAATTTACATAAATGAGATTTTTATTTCACCAAAGTAAATATTTACATCTTTACTGCTTATTTCAAATAATGACAAAAAGATTTGGTATTTGTTTATTTTATAAAACTAAATCTAGGATGATAAAAAAAAAACATCGAAGAATCAAACTGAGTCTATATAACGATAGACAAAGATGACATTTTCATTAACTGAGATGCCATTCATTATTTTTATTTTCTTGAAGAAAACAAAATTGTTAGTAAAATACAAACATATTCCACTCTATTGACTACTTTTGAGTCAAAATTACCAACATAGGAATGATCATTCAACTAGTTCACAACGGAACAATAATCAAACCTTGATGATCAACGACTATTGAATTCGGGTGTTATACATTTTTCAAGTATTTCGGGTTACTGCGCCGTCAAAATCAAAGTTTTTGCGACCTTTTTTTAATAAAATTATTTACCTTTAAGGAAAATAAATTGTTTTCAAAATTTTGTGAAATTTTATTGCGAAGCATAATCCATCCATCTAATTAATAGAATTTAAAAAATTTCTAGCTGATAATACTCTTCGAAAAAAAAGGATTGGACTCCACAAATACAAACCTAGCGTGTAACTATAGGTAATGTCATAACAGCATCACAGTTATTTAACATGGTAAATAATTATCTGTATATGTATAATGCGTTGTACTTAAAAAAAAAGGAAAAACACATTTCCTAAAAATTTATTAAAAATTTGGATTACAAAAAACTTCGCTAGCTCTGGCAAAATGATAATACATTCTCGAGATGAAATTACCCAGTAATTATCTGGTTAGAGATTTAGGCAATGAATTTGTGACATGAAATGAATCTCAACAAATTTCAATCTGAAAGAATTTCTCCACGTTTTTTGACAGAAGGATTCACAAGAAGGTATGGAACAAGTCTCTGAATGTGTCTCCAAATCTAATTAGGATACTCGAATATTCAAATATTCTTTTAAAAAAACAATCAATGTTTCGAATCCCAAGTTATTGAGATTAGAATATTGATAACACAATCTGAATTTCAAGCAGAAAACCTAAAACTATATTATGATAGCTAATCATTTAAAAAAATAGATTAATTTATGAAATGATTAATGCATTTTCGCTTTATTCAATATACAGTACCTGAGTGGTGTACTATCATTATTGGGTCAAAATGAATTCTATCTGCCACTTGGTTAATTTCAAGCCATGTAAACGTTTTGAATTGCATCCTCAAGTTTCTTGTCTACTAGATGAAGATACTAGCAAATTTCTCGTTCTATTATTTGTCTTACGTAAATTATGGACGGTTTGCTATTAATATCGCGTTACGAATTTATGGAGTT